AGTTTTTAATTTCCAAAGATTATTAAATGCAACACAAATTTAATAAAAAAATAACTATAATTAATAGGGGTGTCTTTTTCCAACCCCTTAGACCACCCACTATGGGAGGTGTGAAGAAGGAAAAGAAGGGTCTTTTGCAAATGGGGGCTCACAATGAGGGTTGAAAAAAGGGGGCAAGTAGGATTCTTTGGGTAGGTTTGGGAGAGTTTTCCCTCACAAGAGGACAAAAGAAGGGGGAAGAGGAGAGGGAGTGGACTGGCGGGCCCGCGTGCCAAAGTTGCATTTTACTTTTAGTTTTTTTTCCGCTTTAGTTTGGGTTTTTTAAACCGTAGATCATTTTCAATGCGATCTAACGATCATAATTAAATTCCAACGAACATATTTTACAATCCTATATTTTTCAACAGCCATAAACGACCATATTTAATTAATGATGAAAAAATTTATGTTCAAATTAAAAAAATTATATCACAATGTTCATCTTAATTAATTATTACTACCTATATAAAAAGAACAATCAAATTATTTAACTAAAGTGACAAAATCAACACTAAATCGGATTCATCAAAAAACACCCCTCCCATTTTTCCCTCTTTTCTCTCCCAACCCATTGTGGGGTTTCCCACCCTCAAACCCAAAAAACCCAAATTTCCTCCTCAACCCACTCAAATGAGAATCCAACAGGACCCACATGAGAATGCAAAACAAAAGGAGTAGCATCCAACAGGTTTGCTAACCTGCAAGATGAGGACAAATTAACACAAGGAGGTGCATCACACGAAGCTACACGTGACCAGGCCACGAGAATAGAGTTGAAAAATGGAGGGGGAAAGAAAAAAGATATGGACAAGTATGCAGGACAGGGACATGGGACACCTACTGATCAGGGCTATAAAAAGAATACCCTAAAAGAAGCGAGTTCTCACGTAGGGAAAGCACAGCCAGCTCCCATGCAAAGTCATGCACATCAAGTAATGAACAGTGGAGTGAGGAACAATGATGGAATGGACAAGAGCAACGTACTAGAGAAGGAAGGAGAAGCGACTACGGGTGAGAGGGGGGCAAACAAAGGTACTGAGGATACAGGTAACACAATATCATTCTCCGCAAAGGCGACGAAAGGTGGTAATAATATCTTGAAAAAGATAAGCAAGGAGGGGTATAGCCAAAAAAATAGAAGGTGCGGGGAACCCATCCCCTTCGATTAATAGATGAGGATACTGAGTTACAACTGCCGCGGATTGGGAAACAAGCGGGCAGCGAATGCACTAACGGCGCTCTTACATCAAGTTTCCCGCAAGTTGTTTTTCTCATGGAAACCAAACAGCTTGTGACTGAGAATGAAGAACTACGAGACTCTATGGGGTTTAAAGATGGAGCTTGCTGTCTGACAGGTACCGCCAATGAAGGAAGAGCAGGAGGTCTAAGCATTTGGTGGATGGAGGAGGTGGAAATGGAAGTGATAGATGTTACGTTGCACTATATTGATGTAAAGGTGAAAGATATGGAGGTGGTGGATTGGAGATTTACAGGGATGTATGGATGGCCCGAGTCTGATGGTAAGAGACACACGCTGGATGCGATGAGATACCTGTCACATCAATGGGATGGCCCATGGCTATGTGGCGGGGATTTTAACATCATTGCTTCACAGCTCGAGAAGAAGGGTGGGAATGCAGTCCCGGAATGGGAGATAGAGGAGTTTCGAGATCGTATGGATGCCTGTGGTTTGGTTGATATGGGATTTCAGGGATATCCATTTACTTGGGACAATAGAAGGACTGTTGGGTTTACAGAAGATAGGCTCGATAGATTCGTGGCCAGAGAAATTTGGTCGGATTTGTTTCCAACAGCTCGAGTGCTGCACCTGGATGGAAACTGATCAGATCATAGGTCATTAATCTGTGACACAAGAGGTGAAGATGATGAAGAGATAAAATGGGGGTGGAGTTTTCGTTTGACCCGTACTGGTCTAAGCATGAAGAATGCACACACATAATTGATGAAGCTTGGAGAAATGGAGGAACTAATACGCTGGATAAAATAAAAAATTGTAGAAGCAAGCTAGAATTCTGGAGCAGATCCACCTTCCCAAATTTTGCAAGGCAACGAAATCGCATTAGGAAGGCGTTGCGGGTTCTAGAGCGCAATGAGAAGACTCCGATAATGATTCAACAAAGACAGGCGTTGGAGTCAGAGTTGGATGAACTTAAGGCTAACGAAGAGATATTCTGGAAACAAAGATCCCGAGCGAACTGGTTGCAAGTAGGCGACAAGAATACAAGCTTCTTTCACAGGAAAGCATCGGCGAGAAGGAAGCGGAATGCTATAAAGAAACTCCATGATGAGGCGGGCCAATGGTATACGGGCACGGAACAATTATTCAAGTGTGTAACCTCTTATTTCTCATGTTTATTTAAAGCAGGCACAATCCCAACGACAAATCCGGTGCTCCAGTCTATTAAGCATTGTGTCTCGGCACAAGATAATCTAATGTTGCTGAAGCCGATCAATGGGGAAGAAGTTTATGCAGCCTTGCAGCAGATGGGGCCTAGGAAAGCTCCTGGAGCAGATGGGCTATCTGCATTATTTTTCCAGAAATACTGGGCGATAGTGGGACAAGAAGTCACGGCAACTGTGGCCGAAATATTCAGTACGGGGATGATGCCAAATGAGCTTAATCATACGCTAGTGGTCCTCATCCCAAAGACCAAATCACCAAGAACACCAAAAGAATTCCGACATATTAGCTTGTGCAACGTCTTATACAAAATCCTCTCCAAGGTGATTGCCAACAGATTAAAACATATACTAGGTAAGATAATTTCGCCGGAGCAGAGTGCTTTTGTTCCAGGAAGGTTTATAGCGGACAATATCATTACAGCCTTTGAGTGCTTTCACTCGATCAAAAAGCAATCAAAGACCAGTCCGGGTTACTTTGCGGCAAAAGTGGACATGGCTAAGGCGTCTGATCGAGTGGAATGGCATTTCCTGGAGGCTGTCATGAGACGAATGGGGTTCGACAAAAGGTGGATCCAATCTGTTATGATGTGCGTTTCGACGGTGACCTTCTCCATCTTGGTTAATGGACACCAATCTCCCCGATTCTCTCCTGAAAGGATGCTTAGGCAGGGTGACCCTCTATCACCTTACTTGTTTCTCCTGTGTGCTGAAGGACTGTCGTCTTATACTCAGGCAGCGGCAGAAGAAGGAAGAATTCATGAATTCCAAGTCGTTTGAGGGGCCCCATCAGTGTCCCACCTGTTTTTTTGCTGACGATAGCTTCTTTTTTGGCAGGGCTACCATACAGGAATGTACTGAATTGAAGAAGATCTTCCGTGATTACGAAGTGGAGTCTGGGCAACTAGTGAGCTTTGCCAAATCGGAGGTGTCTTTCAGCAAGAATGTGAAACCACACAAAAGAGTGGAAGTTGGGTCGATCATGGGCATGAAAATTGTTGAGAAACACGATAAGTATTTGGGATTGGCAACCGAGGCAGGAAGATCGAAGAAGGAGATGTTTGTGGCCATTCAGGATCGGATAAAAAACAAGCTAAAAAGTTGGAAAGAGAGAGTCATGTCGGTGGCGGCACGAGAAGTTCTCATCAAGTCGGTGGCCCAAGCTCAGCTCACCTATGCGATGTCAGTTTTTTGTATCCCTGAAGGCACCATCGATGAAGTTCACAGTATCATAACAAACTTCTGGTGGGGGCAAAAGGGGAAGGAGAGCAGGGTGCATTGGGTTCGCAGGGAGGCTCTAGCAATACCGAAGAATGAATGGGGTATGGGGTTCCGGGACTTAGGCGGTTTTAATGTTGCTCTGTTGACTCGGAAACTTTGGAGTCTTTTTCAGAGATCAGAGTCGCTGGCAGCAAGGATCTTGAAAGCCAAGTATCACAAGTCAACGAGTATTTTGGAAGGACAGTTGGGACATCGACCTAGTTATATATGGAGGAGTTTAATGGGGGTACAAGATTTTTTGATGAGTGGTACCAGGTGGAGGATAGGGAATGGGGCATCGCTCAGAATCTGGGGAGTAGATGGATCCCAGGTATAGAGAACAATTTCGTTCCATCTGCACCCAGATGTCTACCAGTTGATTCAACAGTCCGGGAATTGATCAACCCTTATACTAAACAATGGGATCATACAGTCATTGAAAGTTGTTTCACGACAGCAACGATGAAAGCCATACTGTGTATTCCATTGCGAGGTGAAGGGGAAGTGGACCAACTGATATGGAATGATAGTAAAACGGGTGACTATACAGTCCGCGATGGATACATGCATTGGCTTAAAAGTTTCAAGCTACGAGAGAACATCGTACAAGTGGGAGAGGCCTCAATGTGGAATAAACTCTGGTCGTTGAACATCCCGCCTAAGGTTCGTCACTTTATGTGGAGATTCGCACGCGATATCCTTGCAACCGAGGATCATCTCAGCGAAAAGAGTAAGAAGAGAGGAGACAAATGTTCTTTTTGTGGGCAACGTGAGACCCAAATCCACCTTTTCAGTGAATGTGGTTGGACTTGCAGGCTGTAGCGGCAATCAACCCTGGCGAGTTGTTTTGAGAAAGCTGCGGGAAGAAGTTGTCTTGAATGGGTGAAAGAAGTTTTCCTAAATTCAGAAGAAGCAGTGTGCGAGGAGTGGTGTGTGCTAATGTGGTATTTCTGGAAAGAACGAAATGCACATACCTTTAATGGGATCAAAGGGGATGAAATGACCATTGTGGCCAACGCACAAAGATTGCTTCAGGATTACCAACAACATCAAAGTCAGGGGGAAACTAAACTAATGAGAGCTGACCAGCAAGGTTGGGAACGACCGAAACCGGGTATGATTAAGGTAAATACTGATGCTGGGATTCTAAAGGGGGAGGTGCGGGTTCGGGAGTGGTGATCCGGAATGATGGGGAAGTTTTCCAAATAGCAGCAACACAAAAAGTAACAGGTGATTGGGACGTGGAGACTGCAGAGGCGTTGGCGGCGGAATTCGGACTAAGACTGGCCAGACAATTTCAGTGCTCGAACTTGGTGCTTGAGGTGGACTGTTTAAGCTTGATCCATAAGCTCAAGGTGGCGGAGACTCTACAAACAGAAATTGAAACCATTTGCAGGAGCATTCGACGATTGCTCGTGGAATCGGGCACAAGAATATGGCAGCATGTTAAGAGAAATCAGAATGTAGCAGCGCATGTGATGGCGCACAGTGAAACGAATTGGGATTCCTCACTAGTCTGGGTAGATCGACCTCCAATTTTCTTTATTGATCAATTAAGGCTGGATGCTGTAACCATGTCTTGTGATTAATAAAGAGAAGCAGGTTTTCATAAATAAATAAAAAAAAACCCCATAATGGATGGTCTTAGAAAGATTAGCATGCTAACCAATCCGGTGCGGTATCCCATCCCATCATCACAAATAAATAAGTTGTCTTTAAAACGTTCCCAATTGTAACACAGTATGGGTCGATAAAGGGAAAACCGCTGTTTCTCTCTTTCTGTCTTCTGGAGTAAAATATCCCAAATCTCTCTCTCCGATTATCCCCAAATCCGGCTCGATCGAGCTCTCCCTCTCTACTGGGGAATCCAGCGGGGAACCCTAAACCTAGCATTCTCGCTATGCCACACTCTCTGCTTCTGTTCTCCACTGCCTGATAAACCCTAAGGGAGAGCACCCTTCCGAGGTCGACAAGACTTCCAGGAGACGGTAATCTCCCTTTTTGGAGATTTCGCTTCGATCGGTGGAAGATTGAGGGGATTCCTTGTGACGCGGTGGACTCTGCTTCGTGGAAGAGCTCGTGACGTTCCCGATCGGAGGAACTGATATCGGCTTCGGTTGTGTTGTGTTCGTGGATTGATTGGGGGTGATTCTATCTCTGTCGCTGCGTACTGCTGAGCTCCCTTGTTCGGATAGACAGTTCGGAATCGGGGTTGAAGATGTTGTCTGGCTGTTAAATTCTGCCCCCAGTGGTTGGACTACCAATTTCGTGGGGTCACAGTTTTCTGATAAACAGCGTTGTGATTCCGGAGGCGAATGCTGCAACAGTTTTGACAGAGACGTCAGTGGATGCGTTATAAAGGTTCTTGCGGAGGCGTGCTGGCTGGAGTAGCATCGGGAAGCTCCTGATTAGTTGGTTTGGTTTGAATTCCTTTCGATTGAGTACTGGGAAGAATCTAGAGGGGGAAAAAGAGTTCAACTTTTGTGTATTGATTTTTCTATTTTATGGCCTTTGAGTTGAATACAAAGGTCCTGTTTTTGGGAGGCCTTTAATTTCTTTCTATTTGATTTGCTTTGATTTTGGTTATATATATCTAATCTTAAGAAAAGGAGAAATGGCAGTGTATTACAAGTTTAAGAGTGCAAAAGATTATGATTTAATCCCAATGGACGGGCCCTTTATATCGGTTGGTATTTTGAAAGAAAAAATATTTGAATCAAAGCACCTGGGCAGGGGTACAGACTTCGATCTGGTGGTGACTAATGCCCAAACTAATGAAGGTTGGTTTCGTTCTTAGTAGTTTAAGTTGTAAATGAAACTCAATTCTAGATATAGGTAGACTTCAAGTGGCTTCTTGATGTTTGTGTTACTTCTCGTTCTGTCCTTATGAACTCAGTAGTCAGATTCCCAAGTCATTCTGATAACTTCGGGTTAAGAGATTTGTTTATGTCAAATAGTAGAAGCACATTTGTTACTCGTGTAGTTGTCCGCTTTCCCTTACCTTAGGTTGTTCTTAGAGAAGGATGTGGGATTGTGATCCATGCTTAGTTTTTGTTTAGTGCATCTAGTGAGAAATTCCTCATTAGAGGAGCTGTGCACTATGCATGGTGAAGCAATCTTTCGGCATTGGATAAATTATGGCTATATCTGATTAGTCTTGGCTTGTCATTGCTTGGATGGATGCGGACAAGCAATCGTCTAGGTGAATTATTTGGTTTCATCACTATTTAGGTTTTGGTATTTTATAGTTGTGTTCTCTCTTTCAATTTCAGAGTATCTTGATGAAGCATCGTTAATTCCAAAAAGTACTGCTGTGTTAATTCGCCGAGTTCCTGGTCGCCCTCGCATGCCCATTGTAACTGAGCAAGAGTACTATCTCAAACCTTTAAGTTTTGTGTCATTTAACTGTTTTGTATCACCAACAATTTGGATTGGTTGGGCTTTTCGTAACTGTGATCATCCTGGTGACTTCAGTGTGTGTTGTTTAACATTCATACTGTTAAACTGAAGTGACAATGGTCACTGTAACAGTTCTATTAAACAACTCCTTCTGATAGTGTACACTAAAGTGATGCCACATTACGTGACAGACCTCTTCTGTAGACTCTTAAGCAGATCTTGAAGATATGTATGAGTTTCGCGGTGTTATATTTGCAGACCAAAGGTGGAAACTAGGGCAGAGGATATCCCACAAGAGAAAAGTGGCTTTGCAGGTGCTGACTCGTCTACTTTTAAATATGTAAGTGTCTATACCAACTTGTTCTAGATGCCTCACAAGTACAGCAGACAGCAGCACTTCATCTGTTTCCTGTGTATTCCAAATTGTGTAGACGGAAGAGACCGAGTGGGATGAGTTTGGTAATGACTTATATGCAATCCCGGAAGTTGCACCTGTACAATCAAGCATTCCGCCTCCTGAAGCTCCTCCTGCTAGCAAGGCTGAGGAGGAATCCAAGATTAAAGCCTTAATTGATACTCCGGCTTTAGATTGGCAGCGGTAAGCTGCCTTTCATGTGGTACAATTAGATTGATGGTTTGTTTTTCATTGTCCATTGTAATTCTGTCGCTGAGAAGTTATATCTTATGCACTTGAATTTTCAGCCAAGGTAATGATGGCTTTGGCCTCGGTAGAGGTTTTGGCCGGGGGATGGGTGGTCGAATGGGTGGACGTGGCTTCGGTGAGTCTCTGTATATTACTATAGGATACTAGAAAGTCTCTCCCATGATTGAAGTTGCGGAAACTTGTTTGTTTTATTGTCATAGCTCTTTTTATGGCGTTTATAACTATTTTTTTTTTGTCGTTGACGTCTGTTAGGAATGGAGAGGAAAAATCCACCGCAAGGTTATGTGTGCCACAGGTGTAAGGTACCAGGTATGTAGGCGTTCAGGTGACAGGATTTACTCTTTTTTTGGGTACGTTTGTTCTTATGTTAAATTCTTTTATATTCCAGGACATTTTATTCAGCACTGCCCCACCAATGGTGATCCGAATTATGATATCAAGAGAGTAAAACCTCCCACAGGAATCCCAAAGTCGATGCTAATGGCAACACCAGATGGCTCATATGCATTGCCGAGTGGTGATGTTGCTGTTTTAAGACCAAATGAGTAAGCTGAGACCTTTTCATTTGTTTACTCTGTTTTTTCGGGTAGCTTCTAAAATCGTGCACCAAGCTTAGCCCTTCTTCTCAATCTGTTTTTAGTTTGAGGATTGATTCTGGATAAACTTATTACAGGGCTGCATTTGAGAGAGAAATCGAAGGATTGCCCTCCACGAGACATGTTGGCGATCTTCCGCCAGAACTTCATTGTCCCTTGTGCAAAGAAGTTATGAAAGATGCTGTGCTGACAAGCAGGTGTTGTTTCCAAAGCTTTTGTGACAAATGTAAGTTTGATGGATCTTCTATGCTTTATTCTTCCTCTTAATCTCTACGGTGTTCTCAGCCAAAGTTACGACTTCTTAGTTACATTAATAATCATAGCCTTCATGTGATGAATGCTGCAGTGGAGATACTATTTGCTTGACCCTGGTTATTCCTGTGTTAACCTACGGCTTTCATAATTATGTGCCTCCTTCTGTAGGCTACTGAAGCTCCTTATCATGTCTAATTATACTGTTTTGTGACACAGGTATTAGAGATTACATTATCTCGAAATCAAAGTGTGTCTGTGGGGCAACAAGTATTCTTGCAGATGATCTTCTTCCGAACAAGACTCTTAGGGATACCATTAATCGTATCCTAGAGTCGGGCAACAATAGCACTGATAATGCTGGAAGCACTTTCCACGTCCAAGGTTTGATTTTTAACATGTTATAAACCTGAGATGTACTATCTGTTGACATTTATGCTTTCTGTAACTCTATATTTTTTCAAGTATAGATATGGAGTCAGCTCGTTGTCCACAGCCCAAGTTTCCTTCTCCCACACAGTCTGCTGCATCAAAAGAAGAGCCAAGGCTGCCTCCTCCGTCTTCTGAACCAACCGCTACGCATAACATCAAGCTAACGACCGTTGAGGAGAAGCCTGTTCCTGGACCTGTTCCCCCACTAGCTGTCGAGAAGCCAAGAACTTCAAAGGTGGTTAATGCATCAGAGGTTACACATGAGTCGATGAGTGTGAAGGAGGCAGCAGCATCACAAGATAGCGCTCCCCTCATGGAGGAAGAAGTGCAGCAGAAGCTTGCTCCTGGTGATGCTGGTAAACTTGTTTTTGATCAATTTACTATTGTGGTCTGCTTTTCTCTTAGTTTATGATGCTGGCAGGCATAGGAGGTCTAATGTTCGATGTTTTTTTGCAGCGAAGAAAAAGAAAAAGAAGAAAGTCCGCATGCCTCCAAATGGTAATCGGCTTTTGAAGCTCATCTGTTTCTTTTATGGGCTCTTTTTGTATGGCATACTCTACACGTGTTTTTGTTTCAGCTTTTGTATAGCTTAGTAACCTGCTTCAAACGCTTATAGCAGATATGTGGAAGGCTTCTCACGATCTTGGACCCGAGAATTTCATGATGCCTATGCCCCCTGCTGCATTCAATCCTTACATGATGGGCGGGATGCAACCACCTGCGGTGGACCCATATATGAATCCTTATGGTGGTGGTGGTCCAATGCCGTTTATGGGTTACGGCCTCGGCCCGTTGGACATGCCTCCTTTTGGAGGTATGATGCCACCGGATCCTTTTGCTCCGCAAGGGTTTATGAACAATATGATGCCAATGATACCACCTCAGAGGTATGAAGTTTTTTAGACTCGAGGCTTTCCTTCTCTCTTTCCCGCTCAAATGTTCATTGACTGTGTTCTGTTTCTTCCATAACAGGGATCTTGCTGAGTTGGGTATGGGAATGGGGATGGGAATGGGTATGGGGATGAATCATGGTCCTCCAGCAATGAGCAGAGAAGAATTTGAGGCTCGGAAAGCTGAGATGAGGAGGCGGCGTGAGATGGAGAGGCGAGCTGCTGAAAGGTATCATGGTCTCACCCTCTTTTATCTTTGCAATCGGGAAAAGGAAACGCCATCATAGGATAGGTATTGTAGGATCTTGATGTTCGATGGGAGTGGAAATTTTATGTCACAAGAACCAGTGCAGCAGATAATTGAAAACAGATGGTGACTGAAACAGGTTTTCGATTGATTGTTTCGTATGTTTGGTGGTCCCATTTGCGCGGTGGAAGATTAGTCTGCCCAATGGGTTGGAATCTGAGCTCGGTTTGGACTTGGAAAAAGCTCTTGATAACATGCTAATTGTTGGGTGCAGCCACAGGGAGTTTCGGAGAGAGCGGGAATTCGGAAGAGAAGTGAGCAGCACCGGACCTAACAATGGTGGTCCGTCGATGAAATCTGTATGTCCTTTTTCTCCAGCCATCCAAACGTTCCTTATTTCTTCATCCCTTATACTTTTACTTACATCTCACTCGGCTATTGGCCATTGGGGTCTCTTCTCTTTCCACAACATCCATCCCTGAAATATCACAGTACACCAAAGCCCAAAGCCAAGCCCGAAACGTCTTCGCGGGTTTTTTTAGTTACTTATTTATGTTATTAACTTATTATTATTACCACGGAATTTTTTATTTTTAATTTACTATGCGTATAATTTTTTTTTTTCCGGCAGTAAATCCCTGAACACAAGCCAAGAAAGTGTGTTGTTTTTTTGTATTATTGGTGGGAATAAATATGTAAATTTTATGAATTGTTAAGAATTTCAATTATTGATAAAAATAATAATAAAAAAACATTTCCTTAAACCGAAAGGGGTAATTATAGTCGATTTTCTCCTTCAAAACTTTGGCCCAGACACCTAGACTAGACGGACAGTGAAGGCCTGCGATACTTTGGATCTGTTTTCGCTAATTTATTTCTGGGCCCGAGCTGTTGGGCTGAGGGTGTATTGCTGGCTTTTGTTACTCGCTCTAACACATTTGTTACCTTGTGTTTGTGTATATTGGTTTGGTGAAGAGGAACATCCCTCCGACGGGCGATTCTCACCACCACCGTCACCGACCATCCCCTGACCGCTCCGCCGCCCGGGATCTCGACGGGCCACCACCACCTCTCCCGCCGCAGCGCTCTTCCAAGAGAAAGTCCGACCACAACGATCACGGCAGCAGCCGCGATAAGGATAAGGATCGAGACTACGACCATCACAACCACGAGCAGCGAGACCGGGAAAGAGATTACGATCATTCTGATCGCGAGCGTGGCGGTGATCGCCACCGCAAGCGCTCGGAATCTTCAGCTAAAACGGCTTCCGACTCCGCAGCAGCTGCCGCTGCAGCAGCTGAGCGTAAGCGCAAAGCGAGTGTGTTCTCGCGGATCAGCTTCCCGGAGGGAGAAGCGGCCAGCAAGAAGCGGAAGGGGTCTTCCTCCGCCGCTGCTGCCGAAGCAGCTTCTTCAGCTGCTGGTGGAAAGTCCTCTGCATCGGGCAACGGATACCACGACAGGAAGTCATCTACGTCCGCTTCCGTCGGTGGTGGAGGCAGGAAGAGCGCAGTAGCGGCGGACTACGAGTCGAGCGACGATGACGAGAGGCATTTCAAGAGGAAGCCGTCGAGGTATGAGCCGTCTCCTCCCCCGCAGCCAGAGGGGGAAGAGGATGTGAAGCATTCATCCAGAAGCAGGAAGCATAGGTGAAAAATGAATGGAGAACGAAATTGCAAAATGAGATAGGTGCAAAGCTCGATTGACCGTGCTCTTCTTCCGCTGCCATTGGCCCGTGCTTTTCTGCTCCTGTATCTTGTACATGATGAGAATTGAGAGATGTTTTACTCTGTTCTTTCTGGTTTTGGAATGTGGAATTTTCCCATATTTTCCCATAAAAAGATAAAAGAGTTACGGAGCAGAAGCTGCTGATACCTGGCCTGGCACTTTCCCTTTTCATTTGACGAACGCGTGGTAATTGTCTGTTGTTTAAGTGGTCGTTCCTTTTTACAATAAGAAATCGTTTTGCAGTTGGCTGAATTTAGTTGTCAATCACACAAATAATAGTAGCAATTTGTATTCAAGTTTCACATTAGTGCAAGAAAATTTATGTTCTTCAAATACTCTAAATATTCAATTCAATTTGTATTCAAGTTTCACATTAGTGCAAGAAAATTTATGTTCTTCAAATACTCTAAATATTCAATTCGATTAAGAGAATAAGAGATACCAAATTATAAAAATACCTTCAATAATTTTAAAGAAAGAACATTGTAGGGTTTTTGACATATTACCAATTGACTAAAATCATTTTATGATAACGAAAGAACCCCAATGCGAGGGTACCGACTGTCCGACTTCCAAAGACAAATTCAAATGTACATAGTAATTACTCCTCAATTTAGAGATTACTGCATGGTTTTTTTTGGGCTTGTTTGCATTTTATCCGGCATGAGCAACAACCTCATTGTGACCATTAATAATGCCTTCATTTTCATTAGCAATAGAATTATCTCCTATATCTAGGGATGGCAGGCCCAGGTCTGTAAGCGGATACCCGCCCGAAGCCCGCCTGAATTTCGGCTAGCTGGTTATTATTTGAGGCCTGTCAACGGTCGACGGTGAACCCAGTATCCATCAACGATGGATATCGGGTGGTGATGGATCGACGACAATTTGCCCTGCGACCCGCCCGACGAATTACCAGTCTGCAAAACGTCGTCGTTTTGGTCGTGGTATATATTTGCTTCTAACGACTGAGTTAACCCTAGCTCATCAAACCTCCTTCATTCGTACCATTCTCCCAAAAACGAATGAAACCCTAATTCCTTCTTTCTCTCTAGCGATCATATCGCAAAAAGATTGCGATTCAACAGATTTTTTGGCCTTGTCCCACTCCAAATCGCCAAATCTAGAGACTTTCTCCTAGTCCCCTTCTCATCTGTCTTCAATTCCTCCAATCAAATGTGACAGGAGCAACCATTAGATAGCGACTTCATCGACAATAGGGCAGAAAAGAGTCGTTAGAAGTTGAATCATGCTCCCAAATCGCCGATTCTTTGTTAACAGATAAGGATCATCTTTCTTTCTTTTCTTTTCATCCAATTTTCGAAGTAAGACCCAAAATATGAACTGACTCTTCTATTGCTATATATAGGGGGAGTTTCCTAGCGAAAGTTCAACCTTCTTTTCTCATCATCTGACCATCTTTTGATATCCAGAACACCCCAGTCCCTAGAGAGCAGAGACAGAGATAGAGACGTAGAGACGAGACTTGAGAGTCGAGGCTGAGTTCTTCTGGGTAAGGTCTTGATTTCTTGTGTTCTTTTTATGGGTTCGTGGTGTCAATACATACATGCATGCAGTACTAACTACTTTTGTTTGTTGTTCATTCCTTTTCGGGTTTTTGTAGAGTAGGTTTAATTCGATCTTAAAGGATTGAAGATAAGGGAGCAATCGACTGACGACTGTCACTGTGTGCTCGACATTCTTCCGAACACTTGTTAAGTTGTTCAAAAGGTAATTAATCTTTCCGGGGTCTTGGTGTTGTTTTTGTGGTTTAGTGGTGTCTGAAGAGACATGCATGGATGGATCGAGTTCTAACTAGATTTTGTGTTTGTTCTTTGTTCTTGTCCATTTATTTTTTGTGTTTTCTAGAGACCTTTGCAATAGATCCTCAAGTAGTGCAGATCATTGACCAAAAATAGTCAACAATCTACAAACAATCTCAAAGACAAAGTCAAGGTAATCCACTTCTCCTTTCATAACCTTGTTGTTTTGCTTGCGTAGTTGTGTGACTTGCTATGACTGTTACTTTTAATTTATCATAAGAAAAAGTTAGACGTACTAGGTCAGATTCATGAATTTGTAACCTGTTTTGAAATGATAATGGCAATGTTAAGTGGTTTGGTGTTGTCTTCTCAATTTAAAATCATAGAACACTAAAACTATACTTTAGTAAATAAAACTACAGATCATTAACTAATTATTATTCAAATAACTTGATTTTATTCATATGGAAGGTGCAAATCCAATGAATGTGGATCCTGTTCCTAATGGCAATTTCCATGAAAATGGTGTCCAACCTAAACAACCTGTTCCTATTGCCAATAATCTGGTTAATGGTAATGAGAAAGAACTAGGAATATAACGTAAGTTAACCTCTAATGTGTGGCCTCACTTCCATAGAGTTAGGATTAATGTGGGTAATGAAAGCTTGGTGTAAGTACTGTCGTAAACCCCTTGATGGGGAAACAAGTAATGGAACTTCACACCTGAGAACCATATCAAAACATGTATCCAGAAGAGGATACATGATGGTTCTAAAAAAAAATACTTGGCCCCAACTATCAACCTGCTGGAAATCCTCAACTCTCTGCTTCTCAATATAATTATGAGGTTTCTAGGAAGTAACTTTGTTCGATGATTCTGGTCCATGAGTACCCCCTTAGCCTTGTTGATCATGTGGGTTTCAAACGTTTTTGTTGTTCTCTTCAACCTCAATTTGCTGTTCCTAGTAGAAACACTGTGAAAAAGGATATTCTGGGTATGTATGGGGTTGAAAGGTCTAAATATCAAACCATGATTGATGGTAACTTGGGGAGGGTTTCAGTCACTACTGATTTGTGGACTGCCTCAAGTAAGAAAAAGGGGGTATATTGACAGTAACTGGTCACTTTGTTGACAACTTTTGGAAGCTCCGTAACATAATGTTGAGGTTTATGTATGCTCCAGCCCCTCACACTAGTGAAAGACTAGCTGATAGGTTGTTTGATTTTCTTCTAAATTGGAACATTGATGGTAAGGTGTCCTCAATCACACTGGACAATTGTACCACCAATGATTCAATGATATTTCATATGAGAAATAAGCTTGTGAGCAGTGATATGTTGCTTGATGGTAAATTGATTCATATGAGGTGTTCAGCTCATATTCTGAACTTCATTGTGAGGGATGGTTTGGATGCAATCAAGAATGATATACATTTGAATAGGGACTAGGGAGAGTGTAGTTTACTGGAATTCTACACCTAAGAGGGTTCAAACCTTCTTCAAGTTGACTTTTGAACAAAAACTGGTACTTGATTGTCCAACTAGATGGAATTCCACATACCATATGCTCTCTGTTGCTCTTCAATATAAAGATATTTTCTTTCGTTTGATCTTAAGGGACAGTCAATACACATCTGTTCCTTCTAGTTCTCAATGAGAATTTGCATCTATTGTGATTGAGAGCTGGAAATTTTCTCTGAGATAAGTGAGTTATTCTCTGGTTCCAAGTATCCGAATGCCAATCTTTTTTTCGCAAATATTTGTGACTTGAGACAGAAACTGAATGAGTGGGGTGTTGATCCCAACCCTGTGATTTTTGGAATGGCCAATTAAATTCCTATAAATTTTGATAAGTACTGGGATGATATCTATCTTGTACTTGTTGTCTCGGTTGTTTTGGATCCTAGATATAAGCTGCATGCTAATGAGTACTATGCTGCAAAGTTTGGAAATACTAAAACGGATTTGGTGGCTGAGAATATCAAGAAGATTGTTTGTGGTTTGATTATTGATTATCAAACCAAAGCTGAGAAGAAGTCTGCCTCTGAAACCGAAACTTCTTCTGCTAGTTCTGGATCTGTCTTGGCTACTGAACTTGACTTTGAGCTCTTTGTTAGTCAAAAGAATAAGAGCAAAAATTCTTTGATTACTACTGATTTGGATATGTATCTTGCCGAGGATATTATTCCTCGGACAACAGACTATGATCTGCTCTTTTCGTGGAAACTGAATGGTCTAAAGTATCCCACCTTGCAAGAAATTCTAAAGGACTATTTGACAATCCCAATTACATCTGTTGCTTCTGAAATTGCATTTAGTTATGGTTTGAGGTTGTTAGACAATCACCGAAGAAGGCTCTATTGTTGAGCCAGGTTAATAACTTAAAAACTTCTTCACTTGTGCTGCAAGAACCTCGAAGTGGTTGTTGTTACTTTTTAGGCTTAGGGACTTATGTTTTTTACTTGAATGTTTGTGCAGACTTTCAATTGATGAATGATGACTGCCACTACCTGCTTTTGAATAAGACTCGACAATAGTTAGGATGACTTGAAGTTGCATTTTGCTCGAAGGAAGGCTACTATTGGATTTGATCTCAATAGTTAGGATGGCTAATGGTTTGGAGCTTTGTTTTACCTTAGTTGTTCTTGCTATTGAATAAGACTCGACAATCATACTGCTGAGAATGGATTCTCTTTTGTTGATTTCAAGTTCGGATGATTTGATGTTGCTCTTGATTGTTGATTTCGACTTTCAACTTACGAATGTTGTTGAGTTCATGATGTTATGTTGCTGTCAGTTTCAATCTTTCAGACTATCATTTATTCATAATAAAGGGAGATGTTCGGGGTTTTTTCATGGTCCATGAAATCGTACCGTACCGGTGGTTCAACCACGAAATACTAGTATCGGAGGCTAAACCGGTAGGCAGTATTTAACGGTACTAACGATTGAACTATGGTTAAACCATGATTTTACTGTAAAATACCTTACCGCTGACTTTTCCGGTATGGTCTCCGGTACGGTTTCATGGACAATGATTTTTTTCCATATAAGTTTGTTCTTTTTATTATTATAGCGGGTATCTCAAAACCGCGGGCACCCGAAAACCCAACGGTGACGGGCTTGGTTCCACTACCAGATTCGGAAGTCCATTTGAGCTGGAGACGGGGAAACTCGAAGCCCATCGTGGGTGGGGGACGGATTCAGGGTACCCGACCCCGATCTGCCCCGTTGCCAAGCCTACCTATATCAATTGAGTCTTCCTTCTTCTCTTGGATTTCAGTTATATCTTCCTTGTTTTCCTACATTTTATGAGCACAAAAATTTGATGGTAAATATATTTGTACATACAAATCATATTTTTCATTGGATTACAATTTACCTCGTCCAAGTTACAAAAAATTTACAGGATTTGTTCTTTCTCCCCAACACCAGTCTTTATACCATCCTTATAAACAATGTCTTTCTTCTTCTCAACACAATCATCATCTCTAGCACCGAACCCATTACCATCATCGACAGCTGTGTCAATTCT